ATGGGCAAACCTCTTATAGATTTGTATATCTCTCTGGCACAGCTTGAAAATGAAAACAAACAGAATAAACAATACATAGAACAACCCATATATATTTAATTTCCAAAAGGAGATAAAAAATAGACTAGAACTTAAAACATCAAATGCAATCCTGAAACTTAACCAGTATTGGTACTGCAGAGACAACAGGGTGGGTAAACCCTTTTCAAATAAGTTAAAATTTAAGAAAACTTTAACATCAATTTGGAAAATAGTAGAAGGTTATAAAGTACATTTGCCCCCAGAATTAATAAGTGCATTAATAAGAGATTTTTACAAATCACTGTACAATTTACCTGCCCCTATTTTACCATCAACAGCAGCAACATAATTTTTTTTTAAAACGTAAACCTCCAAATTTAGATAGTATAATGCTTACTGAGTTAAATTCTCCCATAACATTGGACGAGATTTTGAGGATTATTAAAAATTTTAAATCAGGAAAAGCCCCTGGCCCAGATGGGTAAATGGCAATGTTTTATAAGAGATTTGAGCCTCTAATTTTTCCAATATTTCACAAACCTTTTAATGGTATCAGCAAGCAGATGGAATTTCCCCAAGAAATGCCTTTGGATTCAAGGTACTATATTCGAATGAATAATGAGCCGGTATATATCTCCATCTGCAAAAGTTTGTGGAGGAGGATTAGACTCTGATATATTCATGATAAATAATGGGACTAGACAAGGCTGTCCTCTTGCCCTCACGCTCTACATCCTTACTATCGAACCCCTAGTCACAATGATTACACAATCAAAAGAGATAATGGGAATTAAAAAAAAATAATCATCAATACAAAATTTCACTTTATACAGATGACGTACTTCTCACTCTTGCCAGCCCAGAGGTATCAATCCGACCACACTTAAAGGGACATTAAAATACATCTGACGTGTGCAAGAGAGAGAAGGCACTGTGTGCGCGCCTTCTCTCTTCTGCCTGTCAGCAGAGGAGAGGGGGCAGGCAAAGACCGCGAGCTGAGCTGTCATGAATGCAACCCTCTGAAGTATGTGCAAAGCCGCGCATGCGCACAAGGGAGCAATGAGGCTTCCAAATGGATTGCTGCCTGCTCGCACCCGCCTATTTCGCCATTTTGACGAAATAGGAGGCGCGACTTCACGAGGCTTCCAGCACTGGAACCAGGTGAGTAAAATCCTCTGCCTGGAGAGTCCCTTTCAGTTAACCCCTTAAGGACTGAGGCAGTTATACAAGTTGTGATCAAAACGATACGTGAGCAAAACCTTGAATATGCCTGTTTAGGCGTAATTCACCTCTTTCATATTATGTGCACCCATACTTATATCATTTTGTTCAGGAAAAACAGAGCTTTCATGTCACATAAAATATTTGTATATTAAACATAATTTAATAGAAATAAAATGTAAAAAATTGAGAAATGAAGAAATTCTTTTTTTTTTTTTTAGGTTTGCATGGCATTTTAATTGTGACTGTCACAATACTGTTAGCTGTTACTGCAATAAAGTACACATATTTGTATTAAAAAAAAAAAAAAACAGTACCCCAAATGTACAGGTTTTATGGTGTTTTGGAAAGTTACAGGGTCAAATATAGCACATTGCATTTTTCAATGTATACACATTGAAATTTGCCAGACTGGTTATGTTGCCTTTGAGACCAAATGGTAGCCCAGGAATAAAAATTATCCCCATGATGGCATATCATTTGCAAACGTAGACAACCCAGGGTATTACAAATGTCTTTTTTAGTAGCCACGTAGTCACAAACACTGGCCAAACTAAGTGTTCATATTTGTTGTGTGTGAAAAATGCAAAAAACTAAACTGAACGCTAATTTTGGCCAGTGTTTGTGACTAAGTGGCTACTAAAAAAGACTGGACATAACCCATTTGCAATACCTTGGGTTGTCTACTTTTACAAATAGTATGCCATCATGGGGTTAATTCTCATTCATGGGCTACCATACATTCTCAAAGGCAACATAACCAATCTGGTAAATTTCAATGTGAAAAAAAGGAAATTTAAGCCTTACATTGGAGTCAATAACTTTTGAAAACACCATCAAACCTGTACATGGGGGCCAGTGCCAGACTGGGAATGAAAACCAGGCCTTGAAATAATTGGATACCAGCCTAACAGCATACAAATTAATACACTGTCTCCCCCACCCCCATCCCTCCACTCTAATACACTGTCCCCCATCCGCCCTTCCCTTTCCCCCAAATGAAAATACTGCCTCCACTCCCTCTCCCCAATTTAATACACAGCCTCCTACCACAAATACACTGCCACGACATCCTGCAATTTTATACAATGCCATCCCACCAATTTAATACACTACCCCCACTCCCCCAATTTTAAACACTGCCTTCCCCTATTTTATTACACTGCCCTCCCCCTTCCTCTCACCAATTTAATATACTGCTCTCCTCCATTCCCCCAATTAAATACACTGACCTCCCCACAATTTAATGCACTACCCTTTCCCTCACTCACTCCAATTTAATACATTGCTCTCCCCCTCCCCTCCCCCTAATTTAATATATGGCTCCTTCCCCCCAATTGAATACATTGTTCTTTCCCCTCCCCAAAGTAATACACAAACCCCTTCCCCAATTAAATATGTTGCACCCCCTCCACCCAATTTAATACATTGCTCTCCCCCATTGCCCCAATTATATACACTGACCTCCTCCAATTCAATAAACTACCCTCCCCTCACTCCCCCCAATTTAATATATTGCTCTCCCCCTAATTTAATACATGGCTCCCTCCCCCCAATTTAATACATTGCTCTCCCCCCTCCCCAATGTAATACACAACCCCCTTCCCCAACTGAATATGTTGCGCCCCCTCTCCCCAATTTAATACATTGCTCTTCCCCAATTTAATCCACGGCCCCTTCCCCCCAATTTAATACATTGCTCTCCCCCATTGTCTCAATTAAATACACTGCCTTCCCCAATTTAATACACTAGCAACCCCTCACTCCTCCCAATTTATTACTCTGCCCCTCCCCCAATTTTAATACATTGCTCTCCTCATTGCCCCAATTAAATATTCTGCCCTCTCCCCAATTCAATACATTCTTTCCTTCCTACCCCCAATTTAATACACTGCTCACCCTCTTAATTTAATACACTGCCCACCCCCCTAATTAAATACACTACAGGAAAGTCCCACAAGCCCCTACCTCAAGATGAGCCCATACCCAGTTCCAGTTCGGCCCGCACAATTCTCTGTTCAAGCAGGCACTGCGAGCAAGAGGTAAGGGAGAGTGGCTGGCCTGGTCTGTCAGCCACTCTGATCACTGAAGTGGCGCCGTGCCGCCACTGAATATGACTGCATACGCTGTATGCTCATATCAGGTGGCCAGCAAGGACCAATACTTTAAGATTCTGCGGCTGCTGGCAGGTTGCAGGAGCATGCGATCAGCCGCGCAGATAGGAAAGTCAATCTTTCCTAATATTGCGGCAGATCGCAGTCGCAGCAGAATGTGGCCCAGTATATCATAAAAGTGAGTCCAACCCTCACATTTTTGTAAATATTTTATTATATCTTTTAATGTGACAACAATGAAGAAATGACACTCTGCCACAATGTAGAGTAGTAAGTGTACTGCCTGTATAACAGTGTAAATTCACAGTGCCCTAAAAATAACTCAACACACAGCCATTAATGTCTAAACCGCTGGCAACAAAAGTGACTAGAACCCTAAGTGGAAATGTCCAAATTGGGCCCAAAGTGACAATATTTTGTTTGGCTACCATTATTTCCCAGCACTGCCTTAACCCTCATGGGCATGGAGTTCACCACAGATTTCCTGGAGTCCTCTTCCACCTCTCCACGATGACATCACAGAGCTGGTGGATGTTAGAGACCTTGCGCTCCCCAACCTTCCATTTGAGGATGCCACACAGATGCTCAATAAGGTTTGGGTCCCAAGACATGCTTGGCCAGTCCATAACCTTTACCTTTAGCTTCTTTAGCAAGGCAGTGGTTGTCTTGGAGTTGTGTTTGGGTCATTATTATGTTGGAATACTGCCCTGCGGCCCAGTCTCTGAAGGGAGGGGTTCATGCTCTGCTTCAGTACATATTGGCATTCATGGTTCCCTCAATGAACTGTAGCTCCCCAGTGCGGTAGCACTCATGCAGGACCAGACCAGACCATTACACTCTCACCACCATGCTTGACTGTAGGCAAGACACACTTGTCTTTGTATTCCTCACATGGTTGCCACCACACACGCTTGACACCATCTGAACAAACTAAGTTTATCTTGGTCTCATCAGACCACAGGACATGGTTCCAGTAATCCATGTCCATAGTCTGCTTTTCTCCAGCAAACTATTTGCAGGCTTACTTGTGCATCATCTTTAGAAGAGGCTTCCTTCTGGGACGACAGCCATGCAGACCAATTTGATGCAGTGTGCGGGGTATGGTCTGAACACTGAAAGGCTGACCTTCCACCCCTTCAACCTTTGCAGCAATGCTGGCAGAACTCATTTGTCTATTTCCAATAGACAACCTCTGGATATGACGCTGAGCATGTGCACTCAACTTCTTTGGTCGACCATGGCGACGCCTGTTCTGAGTGGAGCCTTTCCTGTGAAACCACTGTATGGTCTTGCCCACCATGCTGCAGCTCAGTTTCAGGGTCTTGGCAATCTTCTTATAGCCTAGGCCAGGGGTAGGCAACCTTTTGGCAGCACTGTGCCGAAATAAGATTGTGATGTCCCATAGCATGCCGGTCCTATTTATTTTAAATTGAAGTGCATATGTTGCCGTATTCTGCTTGTATTATTTATACTGCAGTTGCTTTGTATCATTGTATTTGTGCAAATATGAGCTTTTATATTGTATATGTGCATGAGTAGTTTGTGGTATTGTGAACCTATGAATGTGGGCTGTATATGAGGGCTGCTTGTGGAATTGTGTGTGGATGAATATGTCACATTGTGTGCTTGGTAGTGTGTGTATGTGTTTGTGGTATTACATGTGAGAGGCTGCCTGTAGGGTTGTGTGCATGTATGTGGAATGTTAGTGGTGTTGCGTTTGTGTGGATTATGGGTATGTTTGTGTGTGGGCTGTTCGTATTATTTGTCTGAGGGGAGGGTTATTCTGCATTTCTGTGTATATCTAGCAGTGTGGGTGGCTTCCCTGGGTTCTAGTGGTGAACAAGCTGGCCAGGTACAGGTCAAGGACAGGAGCTGCAACAGCAGCTGTGGGCTCTTCTACTCCAGTATAGATACCCATTAACAAGTGCTGCAATGCATAAATTGAGGATTGTCTTTCACCACCTTTTGTATATCTGAGGTTTAACTGGGACTCCAGATAGGCCGGTGCCTGTTTGGCTCTGGCAGCCTTGAGTGCCGTGCAAAGACACGTCGAGTGCCGTGCAATGAATACGTGCCATAGGTTGCCTACCCCTGGCCTAGGCCATCGTTATGTAGAGCAACAATTCTTTTTTTCAGTACCTCAGAGAGTTCTTTGCCATGAGGTGCCATGTTGAACTTCCAGTGACCAGTATAAGAGAGTGTGAGATCGATAACACCATATTTAACACACCTGCTCCCCATTCACACCTAAGACCTTGTAACACTAACGAGTCAAATGGTACAGTGGAGGGAAAATGGCTAATTGGGCCCAGTTCAGATATTTCCACTTAGGGGTGTACTCAGTTTTGTTGCCAATGGTTTAGACATTAATGACTGTGTGTTGAGTTATTTTTAGGGGACAACAAATGTACACTGTTATACAGTCTGTACACTTACTACTTTACATTGTAGAAGAGTGTCATTTCTTCAGTGTTGGCACATGAAAAGATTTAATATAATATTTACAAAAATGTGAAGGGTGTACTCACTTTTGTGAGATACTGTATGTATATATATATATATAATTCATGGATAGATTAGACAGATAGATGTATTTATGATGTCATTCTAAATGTATTTATACATATATATATTAATATCAAAATACAGTTAGAACAAATTAAAACTGGTCTAATTCTTTAAAAAAAAAATTATTTTTTATTTTATTTTTTCATTTTTTTAAAATTGATTTATTTAATGATTTTTTTATTATATATATAATTATTATATATAATAATTATTATTCTAAGTGTATTTTAATATTAGTATACATATATATAATGTTCCTTTTTATCCCTGCACACACACTTTCAGATTATTCAAATGCCGGGTGCATTCCAGCCAAAGCCAAATATCATAGAAAAAATAGTAAATGAAGGCTTGCACTCACTGTCTTTTTCTTGTATAAAAGTTTTCTTTATTCCATATCTTGTTAAAACATAATCTCTGTTATAATTGACGTTTCAGCCATCGTCTGTGGCTTTCATCAGACTATGAACTGATCCTGATGAAAGCCACAGACGATGGCTGAAACGTCGATTATAACAGAGATTATGTTTTTACAAGATATGGAATAAAGAAAACTTTTATACAAGAAAAAGGCCGTGAGTGCAAGCCTTCATTTACTATTTTTTCTATATATAAATATTAAAATACACTTTTTATTAATGATGTATGTATGTCATATATATATGATCTAAGTACTTTTTATTTAATTTAAAAACTTTTTAAAAAAACTTTTACTAACTTTTATAAACATTTTTACAGGCATTAGGGGGACTGCTTAAGCCGGCTATTCCAGTAATGTTTTAGCTTTTACATGTATGCTTTTATTCTAAAATGGTAAAAAAAAAAATACCATATTAGTGTAACAAATTCTTTAACATTGCTTCTCAACAAATTGTTATTCTTTGATGTTTGTACCATAACTACTTTAATTTCTGTAATATTAATTAAATAAGGATGATTTTATTGCATGTTAAATTATTGCACATTATTTACCAGACGTCTAATGGATTTGGTTAAAACTGTCTTTATCTCCCTGTTTCGAAAAGTATAAATGAAGGGGTTGACCATTGGAGTTATAATGTTGTAGATCAATGCAAGGAATTTGTCATTCTGCCTGCCTTGAGGGCTGATATAGACAGTGATGGCGGTGCTGTAGAACATGCAAACTACGATGAGATGAGAGGAACAGGTAGAAAAGGCTTTCCACTTTCCTTCAGATGTCTTAATTTTTGAAATGATATATATGATATGGGCATAGACTCCCAGTATTATGAGGAATGAAACAACAACGAGAAACACAGTTACTAAGGTTGTGGCCAAAACACTGAGGAAGGGATTGATACAAGACAATTTCTGGAGCGGCGCCAAGTCACAGAAGAAATGGTTGATTACATTTGATGCACAGAATTTCAAACGGGCTGTGAAGAATATAAGTATAGCAGATGCAGCTAAACCTATCATCCATTGGAGAATCGTCAACTCAATACACAAAGAACGGCTCATGATAGTTGAATATCGCAGAGGGCTGTGAATTGCTAAATGTCGATCAAAGACCATGACTGTAAGCATAAGGCATTCTATTATTCCCAAGGCAAGATATATAAATAACTGTGAAAAGCATCCTGTGAACGATATTATTCTCTTAGCTGCAATGAGGTTTTCCAAGAGTTTTGGAATAGTAACAGAGACAAACATGATTTCTAGAAGGGCAAAAACGCTTATAAAAAAATACATTGGAGTATGGAGTGAGGGTTCAACTCTAACAAGGACAATGGTAGAAGTATTTCCCATAATAGATACAATGTACAGAAGCAGAATTACTGAAAATAACAGGAATCTGAGATGTGGAATATCTGAAAATGCCAGAAGAATGAATTCATTCATGGCTGTCGAGTTGTGGCCGTCCATTTTGTATGAAATAAATGTCTGAAAGAGAAACCCAAGAAATGTAAATGAGTTTTGTTTTTTTGTTGATCAAACAACGTATTTGTTTTAACAAAATGTATATTTAATTATATTTTTTGACTTTGGAGACTGATTTAGTTTATTATCATATAAAGAAAGAAGAAAACAAGAAGATGGATAAGCAAATACTGATAAAGAAAAGTAAAGAATAAAAGATGGAATTGGTGTAAATGGTGAAAGCTTCCATCGTAACTGCTTTTCTGTTAAATATTTTTACAATAATAATCCATATTAAAACAAGCAAACAAAACACAGCACAAGAAAATAGTCCATCTTTACCTTTCAAGGACTCCATGTCAACATGTATTACAGTCAGGATAATCCTTTGTAAAAGCCTTTCCACACTTAGAGAATATTATCATGCAAGGCTCATGAGAGGCAATGGCATGTCCACCCTTCTTCCTTATGTCATTAACACCCCACCACCTGAAGCCCATGAGTGGGATAGTATAGAAAGTGGGCAATAGCATGTCTACAGAGCTCCTACCCACTGCCTATGGAACACTGGCCAAGCACATGTCAGCTGCCACATAATTAACCTATGCACCACTGAGGGTTTTCAAATGATTAGTCTGCCGGCTGTCAACAGGAACACTCTATTGCTTTCCATGGTGACTACTTTTCTTTAAGAATTGTGCTCCAGAATGAACCCCATTGAGTCACAAACAAGATGCGCTACAACCAATCAGATAAAATACATTATACATGGAACTATAAATAAGATGAAAAAGGTTGAAACCATTAGTTATCACTGAGCATGGGAGTAAAAAGAGCAGAATAATCAGCCTGAATGATCAGCCTGGAACTATTGCTTGTATGTCCCGAATGACTTCCAGCCTAGCCCACCAGCTAAGGAAAGAGCTTGGAGTACTATGTGTTCTTACAATAACAAATTTACATTATGCTCCCTTTGTGGGTGATTTTTCATTTTAACAGTTTCCTTGCTTCCAAGGCAATGTTTTTAGTATGTTTTTGCATTTTTCATTTTTTTATTGCACATTGAGAATTCAGTACCATGCTTTGTGACACCTTCTTCTTAATAAACTGACCGGGCTTGGTTTCTACAAATATAAACAATATGAGAAGGATTTAATTTTGCGTATCTAACAGTAACCTGTCCAACCAGTGTTTATGAGTTTCAGAAGACAGCATTACATACAGCTTGCTGCTAGTGCATTTTTAAATAATTTTCCTCAAGATAATATGATGCGAGCAGGGGCGGACTGACAACTTATAGGGCCCTCGGTCAATAGTAGATCAAGGGCCCCCCTCCCGGTGCAAGGTCTTTGTGCAGCTCTCATACAAATATGTGCGCGCTACCCAGCATGGCTGTCCCCCAAACAGGGCCAGATATACTTTAAAGGGTTAATCCAACCAAAAACAGTGTTTTTGAGTGGAGTACCCCTTAATAGCTTGCCTTACGCTCCCCTCTCCCCCATCCCCCCATTAAAATAAAGACATAAAGCAAATTTAATTAAACACTTCCTCTGTGTTTGTTGGTGACATCACAAGCAGCATCCCCCACATGTTCAACCATACAAGCAGCCTCCAAACACGTGTTTGGAGGCTACTTGTGTGGTTGCATGTGTGGGATGCTGCTTGTGTTCCTGTATGTCAACATGTTGAATTAGAATTAATTGTTTGACTTGTTTTACCTATTGTACTGCGCTGCAGAATATGTTGGTGCTATATAAGTAATTGTAATAATTGCGTTTGTATGTATAAGGAGGCTGTATGCAGTATTGCAATGCTGGGGATGCCTATTGTGAGGTGTGTGTGTGTATAAGGAGGCTGTATGCAGTATTGCAATGCTGGGGATGCCTCTTGTGATGTGTGTGTGTATAAGGAGGCTGTATGCAGTATTGCAATGCTGGGGATGCCTCTTGTGATGTGTGTATGTATAAGGAGGCTGTATGCAGTATTGCCATGCTGGGGATGCCTCTTGTGATATTTGTGTAGGGAGGCTGCATGTGGTATTGAATGTGTGGGGATGCTGTTTGTGGGATTACGTGCATACAGTGAGGTTCCTTGTGGGTTTGTTAAGTGCATACAGTGAGGTTCCTTGTGGGTTTGTGTGTGTGTATGGAGCTGTTTGCAGTGTCGTATGTTAGTGGAGAGGGCTGGTTGTGTTGCAGAGAGTGTGTGGATAGGGGCTGTTGTGTGTGTGTGGGGGATAGGGGCTATAGTAGGCAGCTGGGGGATACTGGGACTGTAGTGTATGTTTGTATGATACTAGAGGCTCTACTGTGTGGGGGAGATACAGAGGCTGCAGTATGTGTGTGGATAGTGGCTGCAGTGCATGAGGGGGAATATGGGCTATAGTAGGTGCAGGGGGGCATACGGATGGTGGGGGGATAGCGGCTGCAGTGGAAGCAGTGAGGG